TCGGGCGCGCTTCGAGCCGATCGCGGCTTCTATTTCAGCGCGTCAGAGATTGCGCACTTGGCGGCAACTCGGGTCGGTTCAAGATTACACGAGCGGTTTTCTCGCACTTTGCGAGCAGGTCGGCTACATGCACGAAGCAGAGCTGGTGGACCGTTACGTCGGAGGGCTGAAGCCGGATATCTCGCACGAAATCATGCTGCGCGAACTCTCGAACTTCAACGCGATTCTCGCGCTCGCCGAGAAAATCGACATTCTACGTCGACCGAGACCGGGTTCCTACTACGGACATCGTCCTCGTGGACCGATCGAGCACACCACTGTAAACGCTGTTGCAACGAATGCAGCTGCCGCACCGTTTAAGGGACGCTGCTTTGCTTGCAACAGGCCGGGCCATCGCAAGAGCGAATGCCCAGAGGAGCTAAGGCACCGCGGAGCAGAGCAGGGTGGGGAGTCTCGGAGGCAGGGAAACGCCAGCAGTCAGTAGAAGTTGGGCCAACTACTGACGAGACTGCCTGCTCGCCCAACCACACCGACCCTCACCGAGTCACAGTACCGATTCACGCCATCGATCGGGCTCGGATGAATAAGGAGGGTACAGCGACGGATTGCCCAGTACTGATCCACGAGAAAATAAAGGGAGCAGAAGTGAAGGTTTTTATCGACGGAGGAGCAAGCCACAGTCTAGTTAATACCGCAACCGCACGAAAACTAGAGCTGACACTTAGCCGTTGCTTACCGGACATAGAGGCACGCTTAGTCGACGGCACGCCACTAGCCATACGGGAAAAGGTAGAGCGAGTCAAAGTTCGCTGCGGGGGAAATTTCGGATTTACACAGGAAATGCTCGCAACGACACTGGATGGGCACGATATTTTAATGGGACGTGATTGGCTGCGACGGTATAACCCGCGAATTAACTGGACGACGGGTAGCTGCACCGTGCGAAGTAGTGGTAACTGGGTCGAGCTACCTCGCTGGCAGTCGCCCGAGTCTTCAACGGTCCACGTCAACGCCATCACGATGAAACAGGTTGTCGCCGCTGGAGCTGACGTGTACGTAGTAGATATAGCATTAGTGAGAGAAACAGAGCAGCCGAGCGATTTTCAGAAACTGTTGGCAGCAGTACCGCCCGAACTACAGGAACTGTTGAAACGGTACCCGGGGATTTTTCCAGACGACTTACCGGAAGGGCTGCCACCTCATCGGGCGCATGATCATAGGATCGAGTTAGAACAGGGGGCACAGCCAACTGTAAAGCGCCAGTTCATACTGACACAGCCCGAGCTCGACGAACTAAGGAAGCAGTTAGATTATTTGTTAGAAAAGCAGTTCATTCGACCAAGTTCGTCACCGTTCGCCGCACCGATACTGTTCACACCGAAAAAAGACGGAGGGTTTCGCATGTGCATCGATTACCGAGCGCTCAACAGGGTAACAGTCAAGTCGCGGTACCCCATTCCCCGCGCCGACGAACTAATCGACCAACTGCGAACAGCACGGGTGTTTTCGAAAATAGACTTACGGGGGGGTTACTATCAGATTCGGGTCGAACCATCGGACTGCGCCAAGACAGCATTTAGGACTAGGTACGGGTCGTTTGAGTACACAGTGATGCCTTTCGGGCTGACCAGCGCGCCCGCAACATTTCAGATGACCATGAACGATGCATTTAGGCCACTCTTAGATAAATGCGTGATAGTTTACCTCGACGACATCCTCGTCTACAGTCGCGACAAGCAGCAGCACTTAGCGGATCTCGAAGCAGTATTTAAAGTTTTAGAGGAACATCGGCTACTCACCAAGGGCTCTAAGTGCGAGTTTTTTTGGGACAGGCTAGAATTTTTGGGGCACGTTATTTCGGAGGCTGGAGTTGAAATCGACCCAAAGAAGCTGGATACGGTACAAGCGTGGCGTCCCCCAACGAACATCACGGAACTGCAGAGTTTTTTAGGGTTCGTTAATTATGTTCGTCGGTTCGTTCCCGACATGGCACAATTGACCGCCCCGCTGACGGATTTACAACGAAAGGGGGTCGTTTTTACATGGGGGGAGAAAGAGCATGCTGCCTTCTCTGCCCTGAAAAATGTTCTCTGTTCACCGCCCGTCCTGCGCATCGCCGACCCACACTGCCCCTTCGAGGTTGTTACATACGCAAGCGACATCGCCATTGGAGCCGTACTGCTACAGGACTTCGGCAACGGCCTACAGCCCATCGCATACGAGTCACGAAAACTGCATCCGCCCGAGCGAAATTACCCGATACACGATCGCGAGATGCTCGCGATCGTGCATGCGTTCAAAGTGTGGCGCTGCTACTTGACCGGCGCAGACGTGACAGTACGGACAGACCACCGATCACTACAGTACCTCCGCGCACAGCCCCACCTCAACCCACGACAGATTCGGTGGCTCGATTTCCTCGAGTCAAACTTCCACTACACAGTCACCTATAAAAAAGGAGCCTCGAACATCGCCGACGCACTGACCCGTCCCACTGCCCAGATCCACGCGATACTACTCGCCCAGACCAGCCCGCTACTGACATGACTATTTACCCACGGATATCAAACGGACCCATTCTTCACTGGAGGAAATTCGCAGCAGTTCGCAGCTGCCAAGGGAGTCTATTACGTAAAAGCCGGGACCGAGCGCATCTGGGTACCAGGGTACACACTGCTACGGGAATTACTACTACAGGAGGCACATGACGGGGTTACCTCGGGACATTTCGGGGTAGAGAAAACACGGCAGCAACTGCAGCGGTATTATTACTGGCCCGAAATGTTGACCGACGTACAGCGTCACGTGGCATCGTGTCCCACTTGCCAGATCATGAAGTCAACACGGAAGCGGCCGGCGGGACAGTTGCAGCCAATCCCACCTCCAGAGCGTGCTTGGCAGCAGGTGACGATGGACTTCGTCACGGGGTTACCGGCCGGGGTGAGTGGAAATGACGCGATCCTGGTCGTCGTCGATCGACTGACGAAAATGGCACACTTCGCAGCCTGCAAAAAATCAATCACGGCCGAAGAAACAGCCCGCCTCTTCATCTCTACCGTCGTTCGACTGCACGGGATACCAGCATCAATCATCAGCGACAGAGACACGAAATTCACCAGCAACTTCTGGCGAACCCTGTGGCAGCAGTTCGGCACACGACTATAGTTTAGTTCATCGTGCCATCCCGAAATAGACGGACAAACGGAACGGACAAATCAGACCATGGAACAGCTCATCCGGGCTACGTGCGACGACCCAAACACGTGGGAACAGCAACTGCCACTCATCGAATTCGCATACAGCAACGCCCCATCCGCCACGACCCAATAGTCACCGTTTTACCTGAATTACGGACAAGACCCAACAGTACCCATGACCCCGAATCCCGACAACCCGGTTCCATGCGCGCAACAGTTCGCCGAAATTTTGCAAGCAGCACGGACCAGGGCAGCAGACGCAATTTAAAAAGCTAACATCATCGCTAAACGCAACGCCGACCGCCACCGCAGACCTGTCACTTACCAGCCCGACGACTTAGTTTTACTCGACACCCAAAATCTCCGACTACCCATCACCCCGAAACTCCGCCCCCGATACTGCGGGCCATTTTGTATAAGCCACATAATAACACCCGTCACCACTCACCTCCTCCTCCCTGCTGACTGGTACGTCAGCCCCTCGTTCCACGTCAGCCTGCTTCGCCCCTACGTCCCGTCCACAAGCCAACTCCCATGCAATCGCCCAGCCAGCATGACACGACCGCCGACTGAACCAATCATCACCCCCGAAAAAATCCTGAGCCACAGAGTTCGTGACCCTCGAGGAGCCCGAAGGATCGAGTTCTTACTCCGCTGGAAGGACCGTACACCCACCGAAGACAATTGGGTTCCCCTGGACAGAATCTAACACCACCCCGTCCTCACCGAGTATCTGCGCAGCCGGAATTCCAGGGATGTACACGCACTTTCGTAAGGAGGACCTCTTTAAGGGGGGGGGGGGGGGGGGGGGGGGGGGGGGGGGGGGGGGGGGGTAAGTGTAAGGAAAATCTCTTTTTCCTTACTTCGCGTCCCTGCTCAACGCATACATCACTGTAGCACCACTGTCAGCACCGTTACCACTCGCAATCCTCGCATCGACAATCCGCCTGCCACCTTCGCACGTCGCACCCCGACCTCACGGCTCGGCGGGTAACCCGCGTTCCGGGCCTCCGCTTTGACACTTTTCCCAACCTCAGTCCCAGGCCCGTCGCGCGACAACCACATTCCATTACCGTTACCACTGTAGTCTCGCTATATATTCTTCGCTCATGCCTTCGCTCATTGGACTCTTGCTTCGATAGTGCAATTCTCATTCGTTCACTCAATTGCACTCGTAACAGTAAGCTTCTAACTAAGTCGTTGAAAGTGTAACGAATATGCTTCCATCTTGTGCATGTACGTGTTGTTCCTGCCATGTCTGGACAGTCCCTTCGCGTGCCACGTCAGACGCGATGGGATTCCTCGCATTCACGCCTCCAAATTGAAAGAGGAACCATTTGCTAAACCTGAAAACCGTTGTAAAAATGCCCTGGAAACTTGATTCTTTCGTAGTTTCATATGCAACAGCTGCACTCAAAAGCAGATTCTCCCCGTTCCTGGTTCATGTTCTTGGTGCTTCCTAGACTTCCCAGTACAAGACGCTGTATTGGCTCAGGAGAATCCTGAACACCTGAGATGCTAGGCCTCATTTGGCTGGGGTCTAGCTCTTCGTCAATTCTTTCAGGGCATCTTTTGACTCTCACTTGAGGCTTTTGCAGGGTGCTCGTCACCTGCGTCGGTGTCTACTGTTCGCTACTGCGGTTTATTCGTCCAGTTTGTTCGACACATACCTGTCTCTCCTCATCTTCTTTCCGTACTATTCCGTGACACTTGAAGACGAATTGTTCTGGTAGCAGATTCGTCAACGAAATTGTTGATAGCGGACTCGTCAGATCGTAGACAGAGTTAGTAGATTCAGTAACCATGACCCGATCTATCGCCACAGCGGCAGCGCGGCTCGCGCGGCGCGGCACGTCCGTTATAAGGAGCTCTCATCAGCAGCATCGTCGACCTTCGTTACAATCACACTTTGCTTCCCATCCGCCTCGATACAATCACACCCCGGCGAGCACCGCGTCTCTGGCGCCGTTGCTCTCTCTGCGGTCGCGATTTTTCTCGGCTGATGCACAGAACGCTTCGAGTGCTGAAATCGAACGTGCTTCTAACGAAAGTGCTGCGGTGAAGACCGCTTTCGCGCAGAAGGCCCCTTCCCCTGAAACCGACGAGCCAATCACGCTGGATGTGAAGGGAGTGGAGATGAAAGGGCGGCCGCTGTACCTCGACATGCAGGTGCGTCTATGGGATTGCGTGTTACGGAGATGCTTGTAACGAGGATGCGTGTAGTGACGAACCGATTATGCTGGATGTGAAGGGAGTGGGAGATGAGGGGACGGTCGCTGTACCTGGATATGCAGGTGTGTATAGCGGGGGAAACCTCAGTTGAATCTGGATTTGTGTTTTAACGAGGTATCACGATGATTTTTCTGGAAGGAGATAGAAACGAGTGGATGGTCGGTGTATCAGGAGGGATGTAACCGCGAATGTTGATTGAGCATGTGTAGCGTAACGAGGTAAAGCATATCGAATTGTTTCTTGGTGAAAGCACAGGCATCTATTGGGTATGAGTGGAGTGCTTGCGTGTAATTCGTGAGGCTTCTCAACAATTACCCATTTATGCTGTTTTTGGGCGAGTACAGCGTCAGGGCCCATAATTTCAGGCGGGGATAGCTCAGTTGGGAGAGCGTCAGACTGAAGATCTGAAGGTCGCGTGTTCGATCCACGCTCACCGCATTTTCTTGCTTTTGTGCCTCTCCCCCTTTTCCGTCCCATGGTCCCCTCACATTTCTCCCCCTGTTTGCTCTTGCGTTTCCTCTCCTAGTCTCGTTTCCTCTCCTAGTCTCCTTTCCTCCTTAACTCGATGCAGTTTTCGTGTTGCCTTCCTGCCTCTTCCCCCCCCCCCCCCCCCCCTAAATCCACGAGTTTTAGACGCCACACCTGTGCGGCTGGGAGTGGAAGGGAGCCTCTCCTTCCCGCACCACCTGACCTGTCTCTCCCCCTGCTTCTCCCCTGCTTCTCCCCTGCTTCTCCCCTGCTTCTCCCCTGCTTCTCCCCTGCTTCTCCCCTGCTTCTCCCCTGCTTCTCCCCTGCTTCTCCCTGCTTCTCCCCTGCTTCTCCCCTGCTTCTCCCCTGCTTCTCCCCTGCTTCTCCCTGCTTCTCCCCTGCTTCTCCCCTGCTTCTCCCCTGCTTCTCCCCTGCTTCTCCCCTGCTTCTCCCCTGCTTCTCCCCTGCTTCTCCCCTGCTTCTCCCCTGCTTCTCCCCTGCTTCTCCCCTGCTTCTCCCCTGCTTCTCCCCTGCTTCTCCCCTGCTTCCCCCTTGCTCCTCCCCTGCTTCTCCCCTGCTTCTCCCCTGCCTCTCCCCTGCTTCTCCCCTGCTTCTCCCCTGCTTCTCCCCTGCTTCTCCCCTGCTTCTCCCCTGCTTCTCCCCTGCTTCTCCCCTGCTTCCCCCTTGCTTCCCCCTTGCTTCTCCCCTGCTTCTCCCCTGCTTCTCCCCTGCTTCTCCCCTGCTTCTCCCCTGCTTCCCCCTTGCTTCCCCCTTGCTTCTCCCCTGCTTCTCCCCTGCTTCCCCCTTGCTTCTCCTCTCTTCTCCCCTCTTCCCCCTCTTAACCCCCTTCCCCCAGGCCACCTCCCCAGTAGACCCAAGGGTCCTAGACGCCATGCTGCCGTTTTTCACGGAGCAGTACGGCAACCCGCACTCGCGCACGCACCTGTACTCTCTTCCCTGCTTCTCTTCTACGCCCCGCTCCCCCAGGCCACCTCCCCGGTAGACCCGAGAGTGTTAGACGCCATGCTGCCGTTCTTCACGGAGCAGTGCGGCAATCCGCACTCGCACACACCTGTCTTTCCCCACCGCCTTTGTTTCTCCCCTGCTTGTCGCCCCCATCTCTACCATCCCAGGCCACCTCCCCCGTGGACCCAAGGGTCTTAGACGCAATGCTGCCGTTCTTTACAGAGCAGTACGGCAACCCGCACTCGCGCACGCACCTGTATGGGTGGGAGAGTGAGGGGGCGGTGGAGGCAGCACGGCAGCAGGTGGCGTCTCTGATCGGTGCCAGCCCCAAGGAGATCATCTTTACTTCTGGGGCGACTGAGTCGAACAACATTGCCATCAAGGGCGTGGCGCATTTCTACAAGTGAGTGGTTATGATGGATGGTGCACGGTGCGTGGGTTGCTTAGGGCATGAGCAGTGGAGGCAGCACGGCAGCAGGTGGCGTCTCTGATCGGCGCCAGCCCCAAGGAGATCATCTTTACTTCGGGAGCCACCTAGTCGAATAATATTGCCATCAAGGGCGTGGCTCACTTCTACAAGTGAGTGGTTGTGATGGGTGGTGCACGGTGGGCTTAGTGTGTGCCTGGTGCAGCAAGTGCAGCAGCAGGTGGCGCCTCTGATGGGCGCCAGTCCCAAGGAGATCATCCTCACTCCGGGGCCCACCGAGTCGAACAACATTGCCATCAAGGGCGTGGCTCACTTATACAAGTGAGTGGTTGTGATGGGTGCTGCACGGTGGGGCTTAGTGTATGGTGGCGTGTCTTATTGGTACGGTGGTGCCCAGCCCCAAGGAGATCATCTTCACTTCTGGAGCCACCTAGTCGACTTTTAAGTCAAGGTGACTTTTAAGTCGAGGTGACTTTTAAGTCGAGGTGACTTTTGAGTCGAGGTGACTTTTAAGTCGAGGTGACTTTTGAGTCGACTCAAGAGCCACCGAGTCGAACAACATTGCCATCAAGGGCGTGGCTCACTTCTACAAGTGAGTGGCTGTGATGGCTGTGTGGTGAAGTCTGGCTGCATGGGCCGCTTAGGGGAGGCTTGGTGTGGCAGCAGGTGGGGTTGCTGATTGGTGCTAAGAAACAAGCAATGCCACGTCGTCACCACACATACGGAGCAGAAGTGCGCTTTGGACTTGTTTTGCCACGTGTTGCCAATCTCCCTGTGAAAGACCTCCCTTCCCTGTCCCCCAACTCCCCCCCACTCTTCCCCCAACTCCCCCCCACTCTTCCCCCAACTCCCCCCCACTCTTCCCCCAACTCCCCCCCACTCTTCCCCCAACTCCCCCCCACTCTTCCTCCCCCTCCCCTCACACCCTAACTGTACTTCACCCTCCCAGGGACAAGAAGCGGCATGTGATCACCACTCAAACCGTGCACAAGTGCGTGTTGGACTCCTGCCAGCACCTGCAGCAGGAGGGATTCGACGTGACTTTCCTCTCATGCGCTCATCGATCCCTCCTTCCGCCCAAACCCCCCACATCAAACATGCAGGGACAAAAAGCGCCATGTGATTACCTGCAGCAGGAGGGACTCGACGTCACTCACTTTTCATCAATTGCCCCTCACTTATCCCGCTTTCCTTCCTCTCTTCCCCCCGTTGGCACCCCATTCCCCGTTCTGGTTCCCCCATTTTCCTTTCCCCCATACTCTCATCCCTCGTCCTTCACCCCGCCAGGGACAAGAAGCGCCACGTCATCACCACTCAAACCGAGCACAAGTGTGTGTTGGACTCGTGCCGGCACCTGCAGCAGGAGGGCTTCGACGTGACTTACCTCCCCGTCGGCTCTGACGGTCTCGTCGACCTCGAAACCCTAAAAGCCGCGATCCGCCTGGACACGGTTCTCGTTTCGATCATGACCGTTAACAACGAGATTGGCGTCATCCAGCCGCTCGCCAAAATCGGGCAGCTCTGCCGGGCAAACAAAATCTTCTTCCACACCGACGCTGCGCAGGCAGCGGGGAAAATCCCGTTAAGTGTCGACGAGCTAAACATCGATCTTCTCTCACTTAGCAGCCATAAGATCTACGGTCCGAAGGGGGTTGGCGCTTTGTATGTGCGCCGCCGACCCAGAGTGAGGCTCGAGCCTCAGATGAGCGGTGGAGGCCAGGAACGGGGTCTCAGGTCCGGTACCGTACCTACCCCGCTGGTGGTTGGGCTAGGTGCGGCATGCGCCGTCGCCGAAGCTGAACTAGAACGCGATTACCGCCACGCAGAGCACTTAAAGGAGAGGCTTTTAAAGGGGATAACGTCGCAGCTGGAAGGGGTGGTGATCAACGGCTCTGATGAACCCGGGAAGCGGTACCCGGGCAATCTGAACCTCTCGTTTGCGTATGTGGAGGGGGAGAGCCTGCTTATGGGGTTGAAGGAGATCGCGGTGTCGAGTGGGAGTGCATGCACGAGCGCGAGTCTCGAGCCCAGCTATGTGCTGCGGGCGCTGGGCGTGGAGGAGGAGATGGCTCATACCTCCATTCGGTTCGGATTCGGGCGATTCACCACTGAAGAAGAGGTGGACAGGTGAGCTACAGCTGAGGATAGAGGATAGGTGAGGAGCCGGACAGGGAAGGAGAGTTCTGTGCTGTGGGTGCTGGGTTGGAGGGGTGGAGGGGTGGAGGGGGAGAGACTGCTGATGGGGTTGAAGGAGATTGCGGTGTCGAGTGGCAGTGCGTGCACGAGTGCAAGCCTCGAACCCAACAGAGGAGGAAGTGGACAGGTGAGGTTCAGGGCCGGTGGTGGTGTGGGTAGCAGCAGGTGAGCAGCAGGGGAGATGCAAGATAGGTATGTGGTGGAGGGGGAGAGCTTGTCGTGTGTGCTGACGTGGCAGAGAAATAGGCACACTCGTAGCCCTGGAAAGGAGGAGACAGAGGGTAGGAAAGGGCAGAAGGAGAGAGGGGGAAAAGGGAGGGAAGGCGCAGCGTTTACATTTCAGGGGAAGGGATTCTGGGCCCTGTGGAAGGGATTCTGGGCCCTGTGGAAGGGATTCTGGGCCCTGTGGAAGGGATTCTGGGCCCTGTGGAAGGGATTCTGGGCCCTGTGGAAGGGATTCTGGGCCCTGTGGAAGGACTCATGCATGCCGGGGAGAAGAACAGCAACGCTTCAAGCATCCAACACTCACTAACCCCAGTCGCCTACAAGTAAAATGCCCACCCCTGCTGATGGGGTTGAAGGAGATCGCTGTGTCGAGCAGCAGTGCGTGCACGAGTGCGAGTTTCGAGGCGAGCTATGTGCTGCGAGCGCTGGGAGTGCTCATACTTCTATTTGGTTCGGCTTCGGGCGATTTACAACTGAAGAGGAGGTGGACAGGTGAGTGAGAGTGGGCTGGTTGTGGTGTGGGTAGCAGCATGGGAGTAGCAGGAGAGCAGCAGGAGGAGTATGTGCTAAAATCTGGGGTTGAAGGAGATTGCGGTGTCGAGTGGGAGTGCAAGTCTCGAGCCGAGCTACGTGCTGCGGGCGGTGGGCGTGGAGGAGGAAATGGCTCATACCTCCATTCGGTTCAAATTTGGAAGATATACGACTGAAGAGGAGGTGGACAGGTGAGAGTGCGGGCTGAGGGTGGTGTGAGCAAGAACAGGGATGTGCCCTGGTTGTGGTGGCAAGATTAAGTTCAAACAGCGGGCTTTTATTTGGCACTGTGCTGACTTTTGAGTCGACTCGTAAGCTGAGTTCAAACAGCAGTCTTCTATTTCACACTAACTGGGGGCTGGGGCTTGGGTGACGATTTGGGCATTGGCATGGGCAGCTGGTCATCGTCATGGACTTGCCTGTATAGTTGGGACTGGTAAGATTTGATATCTGGTACCTCATTCCCAGCCCCCATCTTACCATGATGTTTTTTTCTATCTTCTTTTTTTTCCCTCCCCTGTTTTTTCTCTGTCTCGAATTGTCCTGTTCCGCTTCCTGCGCAGGGCTGTGGCCCTGACAGTGCATCAGGTGCAGAGGCTGAGGGACATGAGTCCGTTGTGGGAGATGGTGCAGGAAGGCATTGACATCAAGACCATTCAATGGTCGCAGCACTGAGCAAATGCTATGTTGGCAACAATGTTAGATTTCTTGAAGAGGCTGGATGATTACACCAGATGTTGCGGATGTTGTTAATACTATGGTACCGTTACATTGTCTGTACATGGAAAATGAAGATGACATTTTTTTCCTATGATCTTGTTCACCTTCGAGGGACAGAGGTTTTACAGTCGTTACTTCATGGTCAAGTGTTTTTGGCGATCAGATCAGAACGAGTGTGCTTGCTTGCGATGTGTTGCTGTTGCTTGGCAACTTCTTCGTCGTTGACACGTCCTCGCGAGCCTCGTCATCCGCAGCCACGTGCTCCTACGCTTCTGGCCATGCCAAGCCTCCACGTTTGCTGATATTTCCTGGTTCGCGGACAGTCTGCGAGCCAAGCCTGGGAAGCCCCGGCGGAAGTGGTCCAGGGGCGGTGACACGTTGCGTGCTTGGATTGGGGATTCTTTCCAGAAGCTAGGGAGGGCTGGGCTTGTGTCGGAATCTTGCCTGGCTTGTGTTGTGTGCTTCGGTGCACAATCTCGAGGTCCAGCATCATCATTGAGGGTCTCGAATCCCGTTCTCCCCACACCAAACCGCTCTCCACCGCATTTCTACACATTTCCGTACCTTTTTACGCAACGTCGATGAGTATGGTTCATAGCACTTCAGGTGTTTTTCTGTGCGTTTACATACGGTCCTCTGCGGTGGTAGCCTGACTCGTGTCTGAACTGTTCAGCTCATTATACTGGAGATTATTATCACCCTAGAACTTGTCTCTCGAGACGACTTTTTCTAGGTTCCTCAGCTCAGGTTAGCTGGGGAGAGGCTGAGAGCGCAGCTTTCATTTCGCCGTGCTTCACGGCACCTAATCTGCTTCGGGGTAGTACCTAGGCTCCTGTCCCGTTGCCTCTTCACCTATCGTTTGCGTCATCCCCCACTCAACCAACCCATTCGATTACCTACATTGCAGTTTCGTGGCAGTTTCACGCAACCAACCCGTCCACCCTTCGACCAGCACCGCCTCCCGCTCAATCATTCAATCATTCCCTCGCTCATCTCCACGCATTTTCCTTCCAAACCGCGCGACTACAACGGATCTCGGACCGCCTAGTCATTACCCCTTAGCTGGCGACATTCCAAGGGTGATTCATTTGGCGGTGGATTTTAGGGTTGTTAGTGCTCGCACAGGATGTGGAAGGCAGCAGCGAGTCGTCTGATTCCCGCCGCTCTTCGCGCGCAGCGGGGAGCGTCGTCGCACGCTAATGGCATTCGCAGCGCGCCGTTTATCGGGCGAATGATGTCCTCGCAGGTGCGTGCGACCGACGTCTCTAGACTAATCCTCTCAGCGCTTTCCGAGTCGACGTCGCAGGCTCATATAGATGCAATAGGCAACGATCTAACCTTCCGCCTGCATTTCTGTCCGTTTTTTGCATTTTCCCGGACGCTAGTTCTGGGCGTCCGATCTTAAGTTATATTCGCATAGAAAGGTCTTCCGACTATTGAGTTCACTCAAGACGTTCTTCTTATAACTAGGTCTCCAAGAGTTTGTCTTCAGCTTTATTCCAACTAAACTACAGACGTCCATCGAAAAACTAGGTTCCCAGGCGTCCTTTTAAAAGGCAAATATCCAAACGTCCGTCTCAGAATGAGGGCGTCGTTGTGGAGACGTTCTAATGCTGGATCCCGTTGGTTTGAAACGGAAATGAAATTGCTATATGTATCCGATTTAATAAACTCGAGAAATTACACCATAATGACTTGATTCAGAGATCGGATCTGATCGCATCGGGTTTGATGTGCTCACGTAATCCTACCTTGTGTCGCATCTCAGCACTCTTGCGTCGTCTTCCGGATTCGATCACATGCACGGTGCGGGGGTGGTGGGAGCTGGCGTTGCTGGTGTTATCCCGCACGTTGCTGGTGCCCCGCATCCCTCTGCGTCTACCCGCATCCCTCTGCGTCTCCCCGCATCCCTCTGCGTCTCCCCGCGTCCCTCTGGCTCATCCCGCATCGCTCGGCCCATCCCGCGTCCCTGTGTACCACCGTACATCGCTATCTCGTCCCTTCCAAGCGTACCCAGTGATCGACCACACGTACGACGCGGTGGTGGTGGGGCCGGGCGGGGCGGGGCTGCTGTCACCCCGCACCCCTCTCTAACACCCCGCATCCCTCTGTACCACTCTGTCATCACGTCCTTCAGGCGTACCCAGTGATCGACCACACGTACGACGCTGTGGTGGTGGGGGCGGGAGGGGCGGGGCTGCGGGCGGCGATCGGGCTGTCGGAAAGCGGATTCAACACGGCCTGCATCACCAAGCTCTTTCCCACGCGCTCGCACACTGTCGCCGCGCAGGTGGGTCGCACACAATCGCCAGGGTCGCAACAGGGTCGCACACAGTCGCCAAGGTCGCTCACAGTCGCCAGGGTCGCACACAGTCGTCAGGATCTCTGTGGCTTTAACACGGCCTGCATCACCAAGCTCTTCCCCATGCTCTCGCACACTGTCATCAATGCCTCAACACATCTCTCTCATTATTCACCCCTCCGGGCCCAACCTCACCTCACCCCTCCCCACCCCCTGGCGCCGCTTATTCTGTATCAGTGCGGCATTATCACAGCTCTCTTACTAGTCTTGCCCCCCGTTCCCACTTTCTTCCTGCCCCAACCCCCGTGTTTCCCCTCCCCCGGTCCCCCCACGCCCCCTCATTCCGTGCGTGCACCAGGGCGGCATCAACGCGGCGCTGGGCAACATGACTGAGGACGACTGGCGCTGGCACATGTACGACACCGTCAAGGGCAGCGACTGGCTGGGTGAGTGGTGCAGTGCAGTGCGGTGGAAGGCGATGAATGAGTGTTGTGAATGGTGCTGTGCAATGGGGATGTTTTTCCTTTTTTTTGGGGGGGTCGTGGGAGCATCCAGTACATGTGCGAGCAGGCGCCCAAGGCGGTGATAGAGCTGGAGCACTACGGGCTTCCCTTCTCCTCTCCACGTCTATTCTTCTATGCTGTAACTCACACTTGTCCCCCCATGTGCAGGCGACCAGGACGCGATTCAGTACATGTGCGAAGCAGGCCCCCAAGGCAGTGATCGAGCTGGAGCACAACGGGCCGTCCTTCTCCTCTCCACCTCTCCGCCCATGTGTTGCCTTCTACCCTCCCCTACCCCCTCCCTTCCCGTTTCCACCCCTCCAGGCGACCAGGACGCGATTCAGTACATGTGTGAGCAGGCGCCCAAGGCGGTAATCGAATTGGAGCATTACGGGCTGCCCTTCTCTCGCACTGATGACGGCCGCATCTACCAGCGCGCTTTCGGAGGGCAGAGCCTCGACTTTGGCAAGGGCGGGCAGGCGTACAGGTGGGTGGGGAGCGGTGGGCAGGGGTACATGTGGGTGGGAAGAGGCGGGCAGGCGTACTGGTGGGTGGGGAGAGGTGGGCAGGGGTAGAGTTGGGTGGGGAGGGGTGGGCAGGCGTACAGGCAGATGGGGAGGGGGCAGTCGTATGAGGGGATGGGGAGGGGCGGGCAGGCGTACAGGTGGATGGGGAGAGGTGGGAGAGATTGCATGGGTGGCATGGGTAGCACGGGGCATGCACTGCTGCACACACTGTACGGGCAGGCCATGAATCACAGTGCTCTGAACAACGGCGCTCATTCAACTCCCCCTTCTCTCGCCCTGTGCCCGTTCCCTGTGCTCGTCTCTCTTCTTGTCTGCCTCCCTACCGTTATCCAGGTGTGCATGTGCGGCCGATCGCACGGGGCATGCACTGCTGCACACACTGTACGGGCAGGCGATGAAGCACAACACGCAGTTCTTTGTGGAGTACTTTGCTCTCGACCTGATCATGGACAAGGAGGGTGAGTGGAGTTCTCAGATGTTCAATCTGGAAAGTAACGAGTGTGAAGGGCTCGCCATGGTTGAGATGTTTAGTGTTGGGACGTAGAGTGTTGAGACGTCTCATGAGTCAGGCAGGCAGGCCATGAAGCACAACACTCAGTTTTTCGTGGAGTACTTTGCTCTCGACCTGATCATGGACAAGGAGGGTGATTTGGGCTTTGAGACATGGGGAGTTGAGTGTAGAGGAGGCATCTCAAGAGCCAGGCGGGCAGGCCATGAAGCACAACACTCAGTTCTTCGTGGAGTTTTTTTGCCCTTGATCTGATCATGGACCAGGAGGGTGAGTGGAGTGAGGGAGAGTGAGCTGTCGAAAAGGCTGGGGAGGGGAGTCAAGCGATGAAGCACAGTACGCAATTCTTTGTGCGGCACTTAGCGCTTGATCTGACCATGGACCAGGAGGGTGAGTCGGGGTCTGGGACAATGAGTGTTGAGAGGTGTCGGAATCATAGCACATGCAAGTGGGGCACATGTGAGTGAAGCACAGCACGCAGTTCTTTGTGCGGTACTTAGAGCTTGATCTGAACATGGACCAGGAGGGTGAGTTGGACAGGCCATGAAGCACAGCGCATTGATAAGCACGCTGCTTGCACGCGTATGCTTGAATTGGACTAGGCGTGTATCGTGAATGTAGCTGTATCGTGAATGTAGCTGTATCGTGAATGTAGCTGTATCGTGAATGTAGCTGTATCGTGAATGTAGCTGTATCGTGAATGTGGCTGTATCGTGAATGTAGCTGTATCGTGAATGTAGCTGTATCGTGAATGTAGCTGTATTGTGAATGTAGCTGTATCGTGAATGTAGCTGTATCGTGAATGTGGCTGTATCGTGAATGTGGCTGTATCGTGAATGTGGCTGTATCGTGAATGTGGCTGTATCGTGAATGTGGCTGTATCGTGAATGTGGCTGTATCGTGAATGTGGCTGTATCGTGAATGTGGCTGTATCGTGAATGTGACTGTATCGTGAATGTGGCTGTATCGTGAATGTGGCTGTATCGTGAATGTGGCTGTATCGTGAATGTGGCTGTATCGTGAATGTGGCTGTATCGTGAATGTGGCTGTATCGTGAATGTGGCTGTATCGTGAATGTGGCTGTATCGTGAATGTGACTGTATCGTGAATGTGGC